TGTGGGTCGATTGAAATTATCAGGTGTTTCTTGGTAGTGTTTTAATAAAGAAACATGGAAAACAGGATGAATCTTTAAATTTCCTGGTAAGTTTAATTTGTACGCAGTTGTAGAAACTTCAGCAATGATTGTGTATGGTCCCATGTATTTTGGTGCAAGCTTCTTGGTTGGTCGATTCTTATCAATTGGTGTAGTTATGTGCGTGTAGACAACAAGACCTTATCTCCTACTTTGTATTCTTCGTAGCGTCGATTTTTATTAGAGTATTTTACTTGTCTTTCTTGAGCAATCATCAAAGTATCTTTTGCGACTTGAATCATAGTGTCCCAATGATTCAAGAAATCATCTGCTGCTGGTACTTGCGTGTTTTTCTTTGCTGCTAATGAACTAGGAGTGTTTGGGTGTTGACCACAATCCAATTCGAATGGTGTATGTCCAGTTGAAGGTTGTTTGGAATTGTTGTAAGCAAATTCAGCGGCAGGTAGATATTCATCCCAATTGTCTTGTTTGTATGAGGAGTATGCACATAAAATTTCCTCCAGTGTTCTATTCATCCGTTCCGTTTGTCCGTCTGTTTGTGGGTGAAATGCAGTTGATAAAGCCAATTTAGTTCCTACTTGTTCAAATAATGTTTTCCAAAAATGACTAGTGAATTTCGCATCTCTATCTGAAATAATAACTTGAGGTAGACCATGATTTTTAAAAATAGTGGAAAAGAAGATTTTTGCAACTTCCGGTGCAGTCACTGATGTATGTGTTGGACAAAAGTGTGCACGTTTTGATAGTCGGTCTACAATTACTACAATTGCATCATATCCTCCACGTGTTGTTGGTAATTGCACTATAAAATCCATTGTGACTTGTTCCCAACGTTTTGCTGGTGTTGGAAGTGGTTGTAAAAGTCCTGCTGGTTGTTTGTTGCTACTTTTATTCCTTTGACATGAGTCACAGCTTGTTACATATTTTTGAACATCTTTTCCCATTTTTGGCCAAAAATAATCTCTTCGAATGGCTTCGTATGTTTTATCAATTCCCAAGTGTCCAGCAATAGGAATGTCATGGTATTCTTGCAACAAACTAGTCCGCAATTCTTTGTTTTTAGGAATAGCAAGTTGTTGGCCTTGTTTCAAGTATAATTTGTTATTTCTTAATTC